AAGGCTTTGTGCTCCCACAGGATGAGATAGAAGGAGATGAAACAGTGGAGGATGTTGCAGAAGGCTACCTACATAGTTTGATCAACAGGTGTATGGTTCAAGTTGGAGTGAGGGGTTCAACTGAAACAATTATAACTTGTCACCTTCATGACCTTACACGTGATCTTTGCTTGTCAAAGGCAAGACAAGAAAGTTTCAATGACATAATTGACCACTGGCATGGGAATGAGACCCTTGGTGCTCTTCCATCATCCATTGAAACAAGATCAATCAGAAAGAGTCGCAGGCTTTCGATTCTTTTGAGGGAAGATGTTGATGATCTTATTCTGCCGCAATACAAGAAAAATCCCAACCTGAGGTCCCTCTTCTTCTTCCATTCAAAAAAAAAAAACACAGATTAGATATTTCACAGATAATGACTTCTGCAGTTGCCAAGTTCAGATTGCTAAAAGTCTTGGATCTTGAAGGAATTAAAGGACCTGAGGTGAAGTTACCAGGAGATATAGGAACTCTGACACAGCTGAAGTTTTTAAGTATAAAGAAAACTCGTATAAGAAAGTTGCCATCATCTCTGGTCAATCTGGTGTTCTTGGAAACCCTGAATTTGCAAACCATAAATAAGTTTTCTTGGGAATCAACTGTACAATTGCCAGATGTATTATGGAAGATGGTATGGTTGAGACATCTATATCTTCCAAAGTGGTGTGGTGATATAACTGATAAGTTGCAGCTGGCAAATTTGATCAACTTGCAGCCCCTTGTGAACTTTCCTGCTAACAAATGTGATGTTAAAGATCTTCTCAGGTTGGCCAATCTCAGGAAACTTGTACTAAATGATGCCAGAAACTTTGGAAACTTTGTCAAAATTTTTGATCCTCCAGGAAACACATTACAGTTCCTTATATCCTTGTCTTTGAAGACTGATATTCTCTCCTTTCCTGATAAGGTTGTTGATCTAAGGCAGCTATTATTAGGCTGTCCTCATCTTTGCAAGCTGCACATAGAAGGGCGGATAGAGAACCTACCTGAGTACCATGAGTTCCCTCCCTACCTTGCCAAGTTAACTTTGTGGGGATCTAGACTTCAGGAAGACCCAATGAAGACTTTGGAGAAGCTGCAAAACTTAAGATACTTTAGCGGGTGGGAAGTGTTGGTTGGAAAGCTAATGGTTTGCTCAAGAGAAGGTTTTCCCCAACTCAAGACCTTACTCCTTCATGCCCTTCCCAATTTAGAGGAGTGGACAGTGGAGGAAGGAGCCATGCGTGGTCTGGCTCCTCTAGGAATTTCAGATTGCTATAAACTAAAGATGGTTCCTGAAGGCTTGATGTTCATCACTACTCTAAAGTAATTGGAGATTAGATGGATGACTAGAGCATTCAAAAGTCTCCTTCAAGAAGATGGAGAGGATATCTACGAAATCCAGCATGTGCCTTCCATTGTGTTTCTAAATTGAGAAGGGTGATCATTAGGTAAGTAAATGATCCTAGTAGAGTTACTGTAGACTTTTATGTATTTTTGTTGTTTGCTTAGCATTATAATG